GAATGTCACCCCCAGAGCACGCCTCCAAAGCAATTAATCCAGACTCTGCAGGAACACAAGGCTGCACCTCCCACATGGCCTGCGGGAACGCAAGGCTTGCATCACTTGCATTGAGAACAACATGAGGTAGTGAGGGGAGGGGGGAAAGGGCAGATGGAGGGAACTTGCCCCATTTGCCTGGCCTAGCCACCGGGCTACTTCTTTCAGCTTCTTTCTTCTGCTTTTGGCTGCATGCAAGGAAAGCAGCAAAAGTCTTTCTCTCCCCCAAGCTCCACCAGAAATGAGACTTTGGGACTCTGCAAGGCACCCTGCTCCAAGAGGATGCACTGGCGCAACAAGTCTCACAGAGACTAATTTCTGGCAGAGTTTGGGGGAGAGAAAGAAAGACTATTGCTGCTTCTGCTGCTTTCCTTGCATGAAGCCAAAAGTCTCTCTCTCTCTCCCCCTGAAAACAGAGCCGGAGACGGTATCCTGTGATCCCAAATAAGGAATGACGGATCGGTAGGAAAACGGGTTGGGGAATTTTCCTGCAGACTTTTTTTGAGATTTTCCCAGGGTCTCTGGTCTGTGGGATCTAAAATTGAGTTTGGTGGTCCCTGAGGTCCAAAAGGTTGGTGACCCCTGGCCGAAAGTCACACATTTTACCTTGTGATCAGGGCATGGAAAGCAGGCGGTTGCTATAAAGAAGAGAGATGATACACTATTCTTCTCCAATCTGGTCACCTATAAACATATTGGGCCTCAACTGTCATAATCTCTAGCCAACACAACTGAATAAATGTCGATACAGCAATCCAGACTGAAAGGCAAGTTCATATTAACTGAATTTTTGGAGCATTTGCAGTATCCGAGTTCTTGCCTGAATCCCACCTTTCTCACACACACACACAACAGTTAAGGAATTTTCTCTTCATTATGCAGTTAATTGAAGACACATAAACCTTGTTATTCTTTGCCCCTTGTCACCTTCCATAATGTATTAGGAAAAAAAAAATCAGCAAAAATTCTGCATTTAAAAAAATTTTATTTTGTAGTACACAGATTTTCCTTTATAAAACTTTTCAAAGAGTAGTTTGCATTTCTTTTAACAAAGTATATGTTGAACAAGACACCAGATTATCATCCAGCCCAGTTATAAGCTTAAACGTATTAGTGGTCAATTCCAGTTAAGCTAAAATGCTTTAAGAAGTGATCTATGGCTCAATGCACTTTATTGCTGACAGTGCAGTCTCATGTCTGTTTGGAAGTGAGATTATAGCAGAATTTACAACAAGGTGTGTGGTATAAAATTGCAGCTTAAAAGTCAAAGAACTGAGGCAATTTAGTGGCATCTAATTTTTAATAAGATTTGATTGTTTACAGTGGACTAAGAACCGTCAATGACTTGTTTGTCATTGTAACTCCTGAGGGAGTATCTTGAACTGGGAATATTGATGTTGAATTCACAATGTGTTTTGGTAGTTAGAAAAGCTGCGTCTTTTAAGTAAAACGTTTCTGATCCTGCAACAGTAGGCGCTAGTTCATTCTCTCTACTCCTTTGCTTAAGAAGGCTAAAAGAACTGGAAAACAGGCTTCAGAGAGAAGGCCCAACTGGCAGTTTTCCCTACTTTCCACTCAGGGAAATGCTTTCTACACCTGATAAACTGGATCCAGCCCTGTAAAAATACTTCTGGCTTGCTTATTCTGCTGGCTTGCAGCTTAAGCCAATGCATATTCCAAATGGAATTGTTACAATTGGACTTTCCTACATGTGTATAGGATTTCAGCCCCAGCTGCAAAAAGTTTCTACAAAACCATGCTATTTGAAGATCACACCTTTTTAAGACATGCTTTTATAATTATCCATACCTATGAAGATAACAGAACTATAAGTCCATGTGCAGATAACATTCTCTTTTCTCTCTTATTAGTGCTTCTTTTTGAAAGCCTCCTATTTTTACTGTTCTAGGAAATGATGAACCACTGTAAAATAGTAAACACACATAACAAAGGAGAAACTAAGCAGTACAAAGCCTCCTTGGTTCCAGGTTCAGCCTCTGGCATGTTCAACTCAAAAGGGATAAAAGTAATCTTAAGATCCTACCCAAGCTGCTATGGCTGGAGTGAACAGGACTGAGATTTCTATATTTGGTGTAGGGCAAGATTCTCTGCCCCATTCAAACTCAGAGGTATTTATAAATATCTGTTGTTATGATTTGTTGGTTATCTTAAGAGCACTGTTCTATGTTCTGACAATAGAAGATGTAACTGAATAAAACAAAATGCTATTGTCTCCTAATCAAGTGCTCCTGACCATTCTTGACCAGAGATCAATTACAGCTTACCAACTGAGAGTGAGATTTATTTCCATGCTACAAATGCAGCTTAGTGGCAGCGTGCATTACAGTAGACTTGCCTAGGCTTCAGATCAACAGAGACCCTCACGGTCTCCTCTGAAAACAAAGTCAATAAAAGGTTGTTTTTTTTTCAGTTTATGTCCTAGAATTGTGTCCTTTTTTTCCTCTCCCTGAGCCAGAATTAATGCAGCAATAATTCAATAATACATGCAACCTCTACAACATTACAAGAGCACCAGTCACACCCTTTTCATGTCAAACACTTGTTTTAATTACAGTCGTATGGCAGACCAAGATTATTCTTCAAAGTCCTGAGATTTTAACCTACTACATTATTGCTTGCCACATAACTGTTCAAACGGGTACAAGCTCTGTGAAGTAAAGAAAAAAATGACAAGGCTAGTTCACTTTGGTCCCTTTAAAATACCTTCATCACTTATCCTTGAGAATTTCATTAACGACTCTCCAAGAAATCAACTTGGTGAGTCATCGTATCTTGCTTCCTCTAAGACAGGGGTCCCCAACCACCGGGCCCCGTGGAACATTTTCTACTGGGCCGCCGGTTTGCTGGGTGCCGCCATCTTGTTTTGATGAGAAAGTGCTTCCGGTGAGCTTTTCCGGTTGGAAAGCGGCGTTTGGGTCCTGAAGGAATCCTCGCGCCTTAGTTTCATCGAAAGGGGGGGGGGGCGGCTTCGAACAAAACTAAGGCGCGAGGATTCTTTCAGCACCCAAGGCAAGGCGAGCCGAGCGACCGTCCCGAAGCCGTCCCGAAGCCCATCGACAAAGGTACAAAGGAGGAGTTGAAGGTGGTGGGGAAAAGCGGGGGACGACTGGCTGGCCGGTCGCTCGGCTCGCCTTGCCATGCGTGCTGATGCCGGTACCGGGCCGCGGATCATTTTGTGATGCCGGTACCGGGCTGCGGCACAAAAAAGGTTGGGGGCCACTGCTCTAAGATATTAGGTTGAAAAAAGACAATCATCCACAATCTAGATCAGGCCTGTCAAACTGGCGGCCTGCGGGCTGGATACGTTATGCGCAGGCCACGCCCACCCCGGCTCCGCAAGGCCAAAAACATTGTGATCCAGTTTGACACCATTCTAGACCAATGAGCTCCAAGAAATATCTTGCCCAGGAATACTTTTTGAAATTTTTTATATGCAGGTAGTCCTCAATGTATGACCACAGTTGAACCCAACATTTCTGTTGCTAAGCAAGAAAGTTAAGCAAGTTTTTCCCCCTATACCACCTTTCTTGTCACAGTCGTTAAATGAATTACTGCAGTTAAATTAGTAACAAGGTTTAGTGGCTTTCCCATTTACTTTGTCAGAAGGTCTCAAAAGGGGATCATGTGACCCTGGGATGTGGCCACCATCATAAATACAAGCCAATTGCCAAGTTCCCAAATTTTGATCATGTGACAATGGGAATGCTGTAGTGGTTGTGTAAAAAATGGTGATAAGTTACCTGTTTCTATGCTGTTTTAAGTTCGAATAGTTACTAAACAAGTGGTTGTAAGTTGAGGACCACCTGTATTAAGTGCTTATGAAAGCACAGCATACTTTCCTTTTGCCACTCCTGTATAAAACTATGTTCAAATTCTCAGCAGCCTCTAAAGTTACTGTAAGCTGCTTCTATAAGTCCACTTTCTCATTTTAAGACATTATTTTAAACCCAGCATCACTGTATTATGGCAATGTTGGTATTCATATAATTACAGCTCTTCCTGGAAAGATCTTCGCTAGTGTACAAGTTATTCTTTTGCTGAAGACTCAAAACACCATTCCGTTTTGAGGGATCTTATTTTCCTTAAAAAACAAACAAACCACCCTACTGTATTTTGATAAGAGTTGTAACTTATCCCTGCTTTACGTAATTTTACATATATTTTGCCATATTCCTGATCTAATACTCTAGAGCCATGATGGCAAACCTATGGCATACGTGCCGGAAGTGGATGCTGCCCAGAAGAGCTCCACTGCGCATGCGCACACACCACCCACCCGACAGTTGATTGTTGAGTATCTGGTGTGCATGCACGGGGGCAGGGGTGTGTGGGAGATGCACGGCGCATGCGGGGGGATCATGTGCACATGCTCAGAGACGCACGGAGCGTGGGGGCCCCGTGCGCATGCACAGGGCATGATCCCTCCGCACGCATTACCTTCTGGGTGCTGGCACGTGAGCAATTTTCGGCACAGGTGCCAAAAAGGTTAACCACCACTGCTCTAGAGTCTAGAACCTGAAACAATGTTCATATGTGTTCTGGTAACTCTGCTCTGCTATTTTCAATGGGACTTACTGCTAGATAAATTATATATGTTCCCTCTGTGTTGCATTGGATGACAACTCCAATCTTTGCAAAAACATGCTGCTTTGGATGATACGTTTAGCATCTAGAAGGCCCCAGATGGGAGAAAACAATCATACACAACAGCCAAAACTGGGATCTTTTCAATATAGAAGAAAACAACTCTTGTCTCTGGAATAAAAGGAAATTAATTTCAAGCTATGTCAAGGTACTGGTGCCAAGCAGGCCAATAAATGGGTCAAGGCACTCAGGATTTCATTGACATTAAACCAAGTGGCTTTTTGGCAAATCGCTGAGAGTGTAAGCTTAAGTTAATCCCAACCCACTCCACACCTACACATTTATATAAATAGCAAGTGTGTCGGGGGTATCTTTTTTTGTTGACAAAAGTGGTGTATTTGTTAAGAATGGATACAATTCCTTCTGATAATATTGCTTGCACATCACTCCTACTTTGAGCCACATTGAATTGCACTAACTGAAACAGAAGAAAGGAAGGTAAAAAAAATATCTGGGAATTTAATAACTCACACAGAAAACAGACTCGCTCTCCCCTTCCTTTGCAACTACTCCTTTTGAAAATCCGTATGAGGCGAAAATGCAAAGTTAATGCCTTTGTTATTAGGCATGTGGGTAAATGCCACAGTTATTAGACCAATCCTCTCCCTTAGACGTAATTCTGAATACTCAGGTCAACAAAGGAAAGGGATAAGCGGGTATAAGAAGCGAGCATATCTTTTGATGCTGCAAAAATACCACCTTCTAAGGAATGAACTTGGGCCTGGTGCAAGGATGCAGATGTGAAAGCTGAGGTAAGTTCTCAAAACACTCAATAGGGCCTAGTCAGCTGGACAAGATTGTAGCTGGCTACAGTTCCTTGTTCAGTCACATTCCCATTAATTCTTATGTGCTCACAATGCTAGCCAGTCAGCTAAAAAAAGAAGTGGATTGTTCAATGTTGCAGTGAACATAATCAGGAAAATTGGAGGCAAATCTCCAAACCATCACAGAATAGTGCAAAAGATACTACCATTGTTGTGACAACCCCCATCTACTCTAGCAGCTATCCTGGCTGTCACGTTTGATCCTTTCTGGCTGCTTCCAGCTGTTGACACCCCTCGAGACGCTTCTTCTACGTGAGGCCTGGCTGGAGGGTTCTCTAAGGTCCAGGCAACATCAGACCTGAAGAACAGAAATACCACAGTCATTGGTGCTTCCCTCAGATGGTACAGAAAATATACTTGGTCTACATTTAAGGAAACCTATGTCAGGAAAGAATTCATTTTGAAGCTCAAATTTTCTCAGCTTAGTGAGGTTGAGACACGTGAGAGTTCAATTTTCATTACCAGCCAGTGTCAGTTGAAGTTACTAAGCAAGGTAATGAACACACACCCAACTGAATAAATATTGCTTTGGCGAGAACGGTGCTTTGCAAAGTCTGAACTTGCCTTTCTAAAGAAGGCAAGAACTGCTCAATAATCAGTGTTTAGTGCCAATGATGAAAGTACAATTTTTTTTTGACACTTGCTACGCAACAGGTGGCTGAATGCTGCTATGTCTGCCAAATATCTTAGGATACAGCGCTTACAGTTCTAACTATTTGTAACTGCTGTCTTTGAATTTCCGCTTTGAAAAACAAAACAAAACAAACCAAGAATTGAAAATCTATAAGTTCCTTTCTAGCTATACACAGATGGTTTAACAAAATGCTGACCACCACTGTAGTGCAGGAAAGGGAAGGGGAAGGCATTTACCCATTGAAATAACATCATCATCAACAATAACACACCGAGAAGAATTCAATTTCTCTCCATGATATATCTTTTTTTACTTCTGTGCAAAGAGATTCGTACTTATCAGCCCAGAAGAACTCTCAAGAACATCACCTCTAGCTGCAAACTGAACCTCAGAATCCATGAAAAGCTTCTTGACTTGATCCTGATTCATTAGCCCTGGATCTGGGAGACTTAAAAAGGCAATCACTCAGGCTAGATGAGCGAATTCCAAGAAATATTTTGCACAGGAGCTCTGGAGGGTGGAGTCTGCGGGGGGTGGGGGGTGGAGGAGGCTAGGAGGAACCTGTTGAGGGGGGAGGGGGGCGGTTATGCGGCAGCACCACACAAGAAGACTGGTGAATGAATGGAGTGGTGGCACAAGAGCACAGGGAGAGTGTGGGACTTACCAAAAAGACTTGTTTCCTTACCTGATGTCTTCCCCATTGACTTTGCTTATGAGAGGCCATCAGGGAAGGGTGCAAATGATAATCATGAGACTGCAGAGATGGTGCAGTAGCTGGAATTCTAAGGCCCAGTACTACTCATCTAATGTCATGGCAACTTCAAATGGTTGCTGAGCGAGTGGTTGGTAAACAAAGATCACTAGAGTACTACCTCGTATCCTTTGAGATTGGGGTGGGTTGCAAATACTATTCAATAAAGAAACAAACTACAAGGTCCTGTTATATTGTCATGACGATTTAATCCATTAATCCCCAGCCTAGAACTACCACTGACAGAGCTTTTCATTTACTGAAATACGACCAAACTTACTTTTTTCTGAAAGCAAGGATCTTATTATTCTGAACGACACAATCTTCCATACTGGACACTTGCTGTAAAATAGTCTTTTTGCTCTTCCCTTGAAAAATCAAATTATCTTGTACTAAAGCCTTGGTTTGATCAAGCATCTCAATCCCGTAACCTCGGAAGGAGTGGATTCTGTTCTTGGTTACCTGGAGTGTATAACAGGACAGTTAACATGTTATTCCTTTTCACAGTGAATATGAGAGACCAGTTACAGGTGGAACCTCTGGTCACAAACACTCCCGTTCATGACAATTTGGGTGACAACAGGGGTGGGATACGACACGGTTAACTACCGGTTCTGGATTTACGAGCTTCCCTGTGTGAGCCGCGCGCCTATAAATTGTCATTAGCACGCTGCGTGCCAAGAAGCAGCCTTTGAAACAGCCCTCTTTTCTTGTTTTTTTAACTGCAGCTGTGCCTCGTTCGGCAGCTGAAGTTGAAAAATCAGGAAATAAAGATCAGGTAAGAGCCCAGGTGGGCGGGTGGGCAAAAACATCAGCAGACATAAGAACTGGTTCTATGTCTACTGCTCTTCAGAGCTACCAGTTCTACAGAGGTGGACAGAACCGGTAGAAATCCACCCCTGGGTGACAACCAAAGTTTTTTTACCTCTGGTTGCGAACAGGTGTTCGAGTGGTGACCAAACACAGGCACGGCGTTTTGATGTTCCGCATTGGTTTCCCCTTCTGTGCCGCACCATTTTTTTTTCACGCATGCACTTCTGGGGATGTCAAAATTGGCTGACGACCAAATTCTCGGAACGGATTAGTCATCACCTGAGGTTCCACTGTAGCTATCAAATTTGGAAGAGCACAATGCCATTTAAAGCATGTGCAGTTTTCTATATTTTTAAAATGCTTCAATATATAGAAACATGTAAGGCATATTGAAAAACCTTGAGCATCACTAAGCAAAATGTTAATTGAGTGCTTTTCATTTTCATGCCCCAAAGTAGATGTAACCTGAGCAGTCAATGCAGGCCACATCCAACCCATTAAGGCCTACAGGCCACATCTGGCCCTTTGACTGTCCCTATCTGGACCACAGCAGTGCCCCCATTGGTTTGGCTTTCCACAACAATCCATTCTTTTTTTGTCTAAGACAGCAAAGTCCATCTTTTGGATAGAGGGGACTGCTGGTTTGAAAGAGAGGGCAAAGAGGCAATCTATGTCAAAACTGAACAGCCCTCCATCAACAGAGGGTGAGGGATACAACATCATCTATCTCTAGTCTACAACACAGTCCTTTCAACAGTTCCAAAAAGGCTCCATACCTATTTGCACTACTCAGGTGACCCTGAGGACACAGATAAACCTACAAGTGGCCTCAACGACTCTATAAAAGAATGCAAATGACCAGCTGTCTGCAAGGAATATAAATCCTTCCATTCCCTACCATCCCATCAGAGCTGAAGAAGCTTCTTGGATGAGAAGTGAAACGTCTCCAAAGAAAAATCAGGAAATCCAGTTGCCTCTTGAAAAAGCACCTTTGGTGCTACGAAACTACATTGCAGCCTTGGAAATATTTGGTGGTAGGATTCACCCAACTCAGTAAACTCAGAATCCAACCCTGTTTTTGTCTCCTTTGTACCTATCATTTCTTGGTGCCAGCATAGCATTAATGTTTTATAATAAAATTCTCCCTGAAAAGTTTCTCCTCCAAGGAATGGTCCAAAATGTTTATTTGTTGGCATCTTCTCTTGGGAAAATAATGGATCCTGGGCAAAATCCAAGTAGCAGCCCCATCAAATGATCCTCAGGTTTCTCACTGATGTTATCCAATGGAGGATGCGCATTGCAATATTCAGAGGCATGATTTCAATTGGCCAAACTGGCTGGGAAATTCAGGGAGGGACTTTGGGTCAACCACCCACCTTAATCTTGACAACTTCACAATGGGAGCATCCCTTTTTGGAGAAAGGAGGTGATACCACTAATTATACTAATAAGCCTGTTCTTTTTTTAGGCACTCACCTTCATGTTGGCTGCCTGCAAGAGTCGGAGGCCACATCCCTGGTTCCCTAGGACGTCATTCTCCGTGATGACCCCATCACCCTTGCAGCTAATGCCATGGCTGCTGTTGTCATAGATCCCATTGCCACGGAGTTCCACCCGGCACTCGGCTTCCACCAGGACTCCCCCGAGGCTATTGCAAGAAATGCTGTTATTTGCAATTCGGGTGAGTTGCGAGCTTTGAAACACGGCAACCCCGTAGTCATGGTTGGCGTGGATGGCATTTCCAATGATATTCAGAGCTTCGCTGCTTTTGACATACAAGCCAGCGGCTATGGAAAAAAGAAGAGAGGGGAAGCAGTATTCTTAACAAAAGACAAAATTAGGAGAAAAAGTCAAAGTAGACCGGCATGCAGTCTCAATAAATTCCCTAGTTAATATCTATATTTAAAATAAATGGTTGGCCTTACTTAAATGAAACAAATGGCAAAAAATAGCCATAGCCGTGCATTGCAGGGAGTGAGATCACTGAGGGATAAGGAATTTCAGGCAACTTTTCAGTATAATTTGGGAGCAGTAATTGGGCAGCAAGGTACAGGCACAACAATCACACTCCCCCCAAAAAGCAAGAGTATGTTGTCGTCATCCTCCTCCTCCTCCCCCCTATTGTATTCTGTAAGATCAGCATCATGGTCTACAGCAAGAGTCTTCAAACTTGGCAAGTTTAAGACTTGTGGACTTTAACTCCCAGAATTCATGAGCTAATATGACTGGAGGAGGAATTCTGTGAGTTGAAGTCCACAAGTCTTAAAGCTGTCGAGTTTGAAGACCCCTTGTCTACAGCTTAGCTCTCCGCTTCAACTACAATTCACATATTTCAGCAATGAAAACTGAACCTCCCCAGTTGAGGCTCACTGAAAAGTCAAGCAATTCATTCTTCTCTTTGGCATGCCTTATCCATTCTTGGCCTATACACACATACGCACAATTTCAGACAGCAACCCAAATGCCTATATAAAGTCAGTCAATGCAACTTAAAATGAGATCTTTCCCAACTCTATACAATATTGAAAATAAAATGATAATTACAAATTATTTACTATTCAGCTTAGACTAAAACTGGATCAAAAGGAGTAAACATCCCCACCCCACCCAGTGTGTGCTAGAAATTAGCATGTGGTTTATCCACACAAGTATCATGTAGCAGAATGGCTAACATGTCCTGGAAAGGGTATTAAGATATCACTCTACATTTCTGTGTTTCTGCAAGGACTTTGCACAAATGGTGGCCCCTTTAAGTTTTCCTTCATACTAAGTTATCCAATTTTGCTAGAACTCACCTCCATTATGGTTGATGTTGTTTGACTCCACAAGGGCCATGTTGATGGGCCGCCGGGAAGTCAAGCGTTCATCTTCACTTTCCAGATCATTCTCCCAGTTGGCTGCTTCACCTTCCTCATTGAAGTTCTCATTGCCTCCTTGGTTGACAAGATAATCGTTAGCATCGTCCTTGCGGCAAAAGACTGCGATGCCATAGATGCTGTTGTGCCCTATTTGGTTGTTGGTAACATGGGGAAGGCTGGATGACATTATCCAGACACCACAGCCCTTATTGCCTACAAGAGAAGCATGGAGAGTTATCAGGTTTCCTTTCAAATTATGATTTTGGCACTAGAACTGAGAAACAGTTTGGTCCAAGGCTATATACCGGAGCAGAGTTCAAGATCCAAATCAGGTAGACTCAAATATCTATGACATCAGCTTTGATAATTGACAGACTGGTTGATAGACCCTTGATTTAGTGGTATCTGATATAGATACAAGGAATTTGGGCTTCTGACCTTGCTTGGGATCTCTAGGCTTTCCAGGAGCAGCTCAAGACTCCTGCACTTCGTAGCAATGGAAATCTTGAGACTTGGGAATGGAAGACATCCATTTCTAAAGCTGGATCAAAAACCAGAGGTCTTTGTCCTAATTTGACCTATAATTAGACTTGAATACTGTACCATGCACAGAATTGTTCAGAAACCCTGCAAGGGTGGAAGAGAAATCTCCATGGGAAAAAGGCATGAGTTTTGCCTGCTCTTGTGACAATGACCTCCATCACAAGCAACAGAAGAATGAGATAACCTAGGTGATCAATGCACCAAATTCACAGGATAGCACACAATTTTGACACGCTAAAAAAGTCTTTTGGATCTTCATGTCCTGAAAGAGAATCAGCAGCTACTCAGGCCAGGTTCTAATTAAATTGATAGGCTTAAAATGGTTAGAGGTAGCATGTAAAAAAAAAAATCCACCTGTATTTTCCAAATACACCCCACATTTCATTTGGAAAGGAGATTTAAAACAGGCTTACCATAAATGGTGTTTCCTTCTACAAGTCCTTTTCCTCGTTCTCCAATAACCACTCCGTCTGAATAGCCACAGCAGATCAGGTTACTCCTGAGGACGGGATCTCCCCCACGCCGGATGTCTGCACCTCCCCACTGGTTCTCCCGGATGACATTTTCTAAAGTGCGGTAGGAAAATCAGTCAATAAAAAATGGCTAAATAGCCATCTTCAAGAGGAATCCAGCAATTGATTTCTAAAGATGTCCTAGGACCTAGGTGGAAATCCCATCAAGCCAACTTGACATCATTCTTCTCTATGCCGAATCTGCACTATTTTTATTATTTAAGACTGCTAGAAATAGGCTAGCCTATCATTTCAAAGTGAAGTTCTGTGACAGCCACAGTCACAGCAGGGAAATAGCATAAAACAGAAGAGCAAAAAGTCTAATTTGCCAATGGCCTCTCTTTGAGGGAGAAATTAAAATTTTGGGATTTGAGAGAGTTGGTGTTCTTTAAATTTGGCAAAGTCTTAACAGACCACCGCATTCTTTAGAAATCTCTGATCTCTGAAAATATTGGGCAAATCTTTGTTTCCTCCTTTTGCATTTTCAGGAGCAAAATAAACACTTTAAACTGCCCATTCTCCCACTCCATCCCCCACCGCCGTCAACCAAAAAAGATCTCTCTACTCTGGCATTTTCACTTTTGCAGGAAAGGAAAAAGAAAACATCATTGGCCAGAAGATCATTGGTTGCTCTGTCCCCTCTTTGGAAGAGCTTTATAGCTCCCACTGCCGTAAGAAAGTTCAAAAAGATCCATCTCATCCTGGGCACCCTTTTTTTTTTGAACTATTACCATCTGGCAGACAGTACAGGATAATAAAAAAAAAAAGGACAAATAGGCTGAAAAGCAGCTTCTATCCCAGGGCAGTAACTACTGAATTCTACTGTACAGTACACTGAAGATGGTATTTAATTTTGTTGTACGATGTGCAGTGACAATAAAGTAAATTAAAAGAAGGGAAGGAAAAGGAAAGGAATGAGGCTTCCTTTTCTGACCTAGTTCTGCACCCCTATTAATCTTGGCATACCATTTGGGAATTTGGGATGGGAACGCTGCCTGTAGCCTTTTCAAAATTGTAAAGGCAGGCAAGACACCATTTGCAAGCTCCACACAGCACTCATTTTTAGCACTCAGACCTGACATGATGTCTTCAATCATACCTACTGTGGCTTCCTACGCAGAGTACAAAGAACATCTGGAAAAGTTGCCCTCTCTGCCTTATATGTTCACAAAGGAAGCAATAAATAGAGGCTGGCAACTAGACTAGAGAAAGCACCACATGTCTTTGTTCTAAACAAAGGCAGTGAAACGAAGCATCAGTGAGCTAGGAAATAAGTAGGTCAAGCAGCTTTCAACCAGAAACTCAAAAGATGGTTTTAGAAAGCATAATGTCTCCTAATTTCAGTTTTCTACAGGAGAAAAGAACCTTTGCTTACCTGCAGGATGGGTGTAAGGTTTAGACCAGCGGTGCCAACCTTGGCAACTCCAACATGTGGACTTCAAGTCCCAGAATTCCCCAATCAACAAGAAGTCCACACGTTAAAAAGTTGCCAAGGGTGGACGCCGATGGTTCTTTGTGATCCTTTGTGAAATACTTTCAAAACTTTGCATCAATTTATTTTAGAGGATGTGGGTTCAAAAGGAAACGAACCAATTTGCAGCAATTCAAATTAGAATACAATGTTTTGAGGGGGACATCTTATTAGATTCAACACCTATCAAATATAAAACGTTATCTTTTCTTACCTGTGATTTGGCCTCTTCCATTCTCATTCACAGCTATACCAGCAGCGAGACCCTGGAATATATGGTTCCCACTGGAGCAAAAAAGAAAGGAAGAACAGCCACTTTTTATAGGTGATTCGTGTACTTGCTGTCAAGTTTTCCCAATAGTTCAGCTAGATCAAGAGATTTGAGCAATAGCAATATATGTATGTATGTATGTATGTATGTATGTATGTATGTATATGTATATGTATATGTATATGTATATGTATATGTATATATTGTTTTTCTGCTCCAACATCTTTGCTTGCTTGCTTGCTTACATTTTTTTCAGAGTCTTCACCTACATTTACGTTTTGCATGATTCCCCAATGGTTTGGCTTTCACTGTGCATGGCTTACCATTCTAGTTTAGATCAAGATTTATAATTTAGTGTTTAGTCTGAATGAGGCCCCTCTGGCTTGTTCAATAAGCTATTATTAAAGCAATCCTATTACTAGTATAATACAATACTATCTCCTTTTTACACCAGTTCCTTTCTTTTCTTAGGCCTTTATATAAATCAGATTTTTAAGGCAGGCCAAGTTGTGTTAGTTTTCTAATGGAATGGTTGCAATTAAATGTGGGGGCAATAAAACAAGGAAGGCAAAATCTCAAACATGGAGGGAAAAGCCATAATGTTCAAGCCTTCTTTTTGACTTTCCAAATGAATGCACCCCCCCCGCCCCCCGTTTTGTACGTTTTCAAAATAATAGTAACCTTTTACTTGTCCCAGCTTCCGCCAACCTAGCAGTTCGAAAGCATGTACAAATGCAAGCAGAAAGATAGGGACCACTTATGGTGGGAAGGTAACAGCGTTCCGTGCGCCTTCGGCGTTTAGTCATGCTGGCCACGTGACCACAGAGATGTATTTGGACAGCTCTGGCTCTTCGGCTTTGTAACGGAGATGAGTAGCGCTCCCTAGAGCCAGAAACGACTAGCACATATGTGTGAGGGGAACCTTTACCTTTACCTAAAAACAGTTATAATGAATGCTTATTTCAAACATTGGGGAGTCTGCCTCATAGCTACAAAATTGCATGGTGTATATATACTTCAATACTTCAAAAGGGTCTCTAGGACTGATTTTTTTTTTAAAAAAAAAGGAAGGCGGAGATTCAGGGCAACCATGTAGATCTGCTGATCCCTGCCATAAATAAACAGTTGTTTTATTCTGGGGATGCCATTTGGGGGTCACCTCTGGTGTCAGAAAGTATGGAGCTACACTTGTAGTCCCAGAGATATGATTCTGGATGATACAGGATGACCTTTAAAAAAAAAATCCTTTCCATTCACACTTAACCACTTGCAATGTTGCCATTCAACACAGACATCTTCAAGCTGGTAGTCAGAGTTACCTCACGGCAAAGGGTCAAACTGATTCCCAGCTGCTAAGGAAAGAAGCAGGAGCTCACCCCACTGTGGAAACCATGATCAATTGCCCTATCCCTTTCCATTCGCCTTAAAGAGTAATCTCCCATGAGAGAGAAATCCACAGATTTTAGGCTTCTGATATCTTTTTTTTTCTGGGTGTGGATGCTAACCCAAGTTGATTGATGACTAGGAAGAACCAGTCTGCTGTAGCGGTTAAGATGCTGACCCAGAAACCAGGAGACTGTGAGTTCTAGTTCTGCCTTAAGCTATTGATATGGGGGGGGGGGGGAATGGGGTGAAAGGAGTATTAGGTAAGTCTGCTGTCTTATTTATAAAAATAATAAAGGTGGGATAAAAAAACTAATACATAATAAAAAGCAACGAGCAAAGAACAGCACTGTGTTTTGCCATCTCTCCCCTTGATGCTTGCCAAACTCCTTGTTCCACTTGGCTTAAAAAATAATTTTAAAAAAGAAATAGGAAGAAGGCCAGCATTAGCTTTTAGCATTATCTGTATTTGCAGTAATAAACATCACTGGATGTTAAGGAAAATATCTGGGGAGCGCACAGCCATCTCTTCACATATTACTCCTTTTCCCCTTTCTAGTCCTATTCTTTGCAACTGATTGCCCCTTGAGTTTCACTTGAGGTCCAATTTCCGGAGGTGTAAAAAAAAGCCTATAAAATATTTATTATTAAGATGGAGGAATTTTTCAGTAGCTGTGCTGGGTGCCAGTTTAAATTAGGGTTGTGCTGGGATTAGACAATGTTTTAAAACTGATTGTTACACTTTTATTTTTCAGGTACTGGTTAATATTGTGCTTTTATTATTTTGCTTGCACTAAATATTTTATTTCATACCAAATAAAAGTATTACTACTAAAACCTATCCTTCTAATAAGGAAAGTTTGCTGGGTGATCATACTTCTCAGTATAGCCATTTGGACAATATGTAGGCCTCACACTTTCAAGGCATAAAATATGGTCCTAGTCCCAAAAGATTGCCTACACAGATAAACCTCCAAGTGCTTCAAGGACCCTCTAAAACAGGGGTCCCCAACCACCGGTCCCTGGACCGGTACCGGTCCATGGAACAATTTCTACCGGGCCGCCGGTTTGCTGGGCGCCGCCATCTTGTTTTGATGAAAAAGTGCTTCCGGTGAGCTTTTCCGGGTAGAAAGCAGTGTTTGGGTGCTGAAAGAATCCTCGCGCCTTAGTTTCATCGAGGGGGGGGCGGCTTCGAACAAAACTAAGGCGCGAGGATTCTTTCAGCACGCATGGCAAGGCGAGCCGAGCAACCGTCCTGAAGCCATCGTGAAGCCCATCGACACAGGTACAAAGGAGGAGTTGAAGGTGGCGGGGAGAAGCGGGGGACGACTGGCTGGCCGGTCGCTCGGCTCGCCTTGCCATGCGTGCTGATGCCGGTACCGGGCCGCGGATGATTTTGTGATGCCGGTACCGGGCCGCGGCACAAAAAAGGTTGGGGCCACTGCTCTAAAAGGATGCAAATGACCGGCTGCCTACAAGGAATATAAATCCTTCCTTTCCCGTCTATCCTGTCAGAGCTGAAGAAGCTTTTTGGATGAGAAGCGAAACATCTTCAAAAGAAAAAACATGAAAGTCCAGTTGCCTCCAGAAAAAGCACCTTTGGGACAACCATGACCTGGATGACTGAGAATCACTACAGGCTTTTAGCTACACAATGTATTGTGTATACTCTTATTCATTGGAGTTGACGCACTCTAATGGAAAACTTTATAAGAGTCCCAGCAGTGCAGCACTAGAATCAGGCAATTAATTTCCCATTTTATAGGTGAGAAATACCTAGCCAAGAGATAAAGGAATTATTGTTTTCGATTTGTAAACGTTTCTGCAAATCATCCACAAACCTGTCACTACAGGTAGTCCTTGACTTAGAACCACAATTGAGTCCAAGATTTCTGTTGCTAAGCAAGACAATTGTTAAGTGAGTTTTGCCTCATTTTACGAACTTTGCTGCCACAGTTGTCGAGTGAATCACTGCAGTTATTAAGTTAGCAACACATTGTTAAGTGCCCCATTGACATTGCTTGTCAGAAGGTCACAAAAGGTGATCACATGACCTGGAACTCTGCAACCAACATCAATATGAGTCAGTTGCCAAGCATCTGAATCTTGATCATGTGACCACGGGGAACCTGAAAAAGTTGTGTGTGAAAAACAGTCACAAGTCACTTTTTTCAGCGCCATTGTAACTTTGCTCACTGAATGAACTGTGGTAAGTCGAGAACAACCTGTAGTTCCCAATCTGCCTTCTACCTTCCCTGTGATTTCTGAATCAGGCTTTCTAAAGCCTTATTAATTTTGCCTTTTCTTTAATAGTATCCCTTTGCACTTCTACATTTTCTGCTAAGGGTGGAGGAAGGAAGATATATAGGAATCTGATATATCAGGGGATGCATCACTTTGTGCATTGTGAAGGCATAATGTCCTGGTTGCTGCTTTGGGCATAGTGAGCAAACAACAAACCAGCTTCCCCATCTTTTCCAATATTTATTTATTTTCAAAGTGATAAACAAGTCAATGCAGAAGAAGTTTTGGGAGTTGTTTGGAAAGTTTTAACAGCCATGTAAAAGTACTGTGCTTTCTTGATAAATTATATGTGTTAAAAGAAAAATGGTTGTACTATTTGGTGAGAACAATTTGCTCTCTGTAGAAAGGACAAAATAACACAGCACAATGAGAACAGGCGCAAGGCACTCTAAAAGTGAAAAAGCCACCTGGAAAAGCATGAATTCAAGTGGAATGAAAACTGTTAGAACCCGAATTAAGTGGAATATGCAACTCCAGGACTCGGATACATTTAATCAGAACAAAAAATGGATCTGGAATGGAATATTTCAGGTAGAGATCAAAGGAGAACTGAAGATTCACGGCCTTTAGCTCACCAACGCCATCTGAGAGAAGTCTTGCATTAAGAGGCCAACACTGCCAGTCCAAAGAAGCTATCTTTGACACAGTCAGTAATTAACACCCAGAAAGAATCACTTTCATTTTTTGCTGTCTTCCAATTTGAAGATTTAATTGTACATTTCATTATCTAAGAAACTTATAGCAAATATGGTTCCTCACAAGCACAACTCTATGAGGGAGATTAAGCTGAGGAAAACAGTGACTAATCATCTTTTACTGAACCAATTACCACTAGCTGGGTTTCCACAAAAATGGATGTGCAAAATTCAATCAATTCAGCAATCACCAAAAATTCTGGAATGTTTCATTTTTCCTTTGGACTATGCCAAATCCCTTCAGACCTTTGTTGGGTTTGGAGATTTGCAAAAATTGGCAAATGTCCCCCCTCATGGCATACACTCTTCAACAAAAGAGGAATTGAACGTTTCAGAGAACTCTGTATTCCAATTCTAAATCATAGAATTTTCCACATCTCTAAGCTAATATATAAACCAGCAAATCATACGATGGCTTAGTATGTAGTGTGAATGCAGCTACTGATTGGTCTGTAAAACATTTTGAATTTAAACTGCATCCAATTTGAAATGCCCTAAATCAAGATTGATGCAGTAGCTTGGGGAACAAAATTATTTATTGCACGTTTGGAACAGGCCATTCTGATCATTTTGAGAATATTCTGAATTCAGAACACTTCTCGTGTGATTGGAACAGCCAGTTTGAACTCATTTGAAGCAGTTCAAATTCTAAACATTTTGTACTTAGAAATATGAGATATAAACAGAACCTGGTTCCTAGTTTCACATTCTTAATTCTGATACTGTATTCTCATTCTCTCCCCATCTCTCCCTTTCTCTCTCTCCCTCCCTCCCTCCCCTCCTCTCCCTCCTTCCCTCCCTGCTATCAGAAAGGAACAATACTTTCTATATTGCTTTCCCCACTTTGCTATAGCAAAATCAAAGCACAACTTCCGTGTACTACTGAGGAAGTGGAGGACAGAATATGACTTCTGTATTGGAGGATAAGGAACCAAAAGAGACTCTGGGATGTTTCTTTGATGCTTTGAATTAAAAATGAAATCTTTCAGACTGATCAGTAAAGGGTAAACAACAAAAGAAAACTTCCCATGCAATTTTGTTATATTTCTGACAATGCCTCCCCATGAAAACCCAGGCGTTTTGGAATAGTGTTAGAAACATGGACCCAACGGAGAATCTTTTTAGTACATATAAGTCACTGGGGAACAATTAGTGTAGCAATACTTTCTTAGGCACAACAATGCCTTGTGATAATAGACTAAATCATCAATGGGGCTGCCTCTTGTTTTGTTCAGACACAAATAGATATCTTGATTTCAACAGACTTTTGTGAATACTTGGCTGCAGCTGCTATTGGCACAATACCCAGGAAGGGAAATTAAGTCTCCATTTTGAGCTGCTGATTCCTTTATGCATGTTTTCTTCCAGGTGGATTGCCTGTATCATTATCACTACCTTGGCCACTACCTATTTAGAAATCATACTCATTTCACAAGTCTGATTCCTATTGGCTTTGGGGAAGTGTTTGACCTTAACTCTTACAATTTGTAGGCTTCTTTAAAGTTTTCTGTTTATCAAACTATTGTGGTGGAATAAGCCATTCTCAAACAAACACTTAAACCTCACTTGGTTGCAGCTGTTGCTTGGATCATCTCCCATTTGAATTTGAAGTCTAGCGCTCATATGAAAATGATACCACTCTCCACCCACACTGGGAGAAATCAAATCCATAGAGTAGTCTCAAGGTTGAAAGGTGCTTCACACAATGCTCCTGTGTGAATAAGGTAATGAGGTGAGCGTCTTACCAGTTGAAAAGGGCTTCTTGGATGCTTTCTGTTAGGAATATAAGTCACCTAACAGGTATTTGGGTTAGAAATATATAAGCCAGGATAGTACTATATCTTTAAGAAAATGCAAAACTGTAGTTGGGTGTGGTTTTTCAAACGGCCATAAGATGGAGCCAGAAACGTGGGTTGTTTTAGTCTTAGTCTCAGAAGAGAGTGTGAGTCAGTCTCTGTTTCCTTCTGTTGGAAAGTATTGCCGTTCCTCCATTTTTCCTAATTGACTGATATTCCTGGATTTAATGTAAGTCTATTACTGAACTGTTTTTTGACACTGAACTTTGTTACTGAATTATCCCTGGATTGAAAACTGACTGATTTAACCTGTGAATGACTTTGGACTGCCTATTTTGAACTTTGCTTAAACCTTTATTGAAAGTAAAACCCTACATTTACTGTACAGTGTATCTGTGTGCTGTATGTGTATTATTCAAACACTACTCTCAAAATATGTCTCCCTGTATGCGCTCATTCTCCTAACGGGGAATTACCTCAACACGTTCCATACAGTTTACAGGGAAAATGTACAACCCACAGTCATGGGGAAGGGGAAGGAAAGGGAATAAATATTAATAAAAGAATATTTAATAGGAAGTAAATGTTTAATTAAAGAATATTTAATATTTAAAGCAGACCAAAAGACCCAACAACCCCAGAAAAACAGGAGTGATCTACATAAAATAGCAATAGCACTTAGACTTACATACCACTTTACAGTGCTTTACAGCCCTCTCTAAGTGGTTTACAGAGTCAGCATATTGCCCACCAACAATTTGGGTCCTCATTTTACCTACCTTGGAAGGATGGAAAGCTGAGTTAACCTTGAGCCTGGTGGGATTTGAACTGCCAAATTGGAGGCAGCTGGCTGCAGCAGAAGTAGCTTGCACTACTGCACTCTAACCACTGCATCCACTGCACCATTCTAACTATTGCACCACCGAATGTCTATGTAAGGATTGCAACAAACTGGCAGAATGCATCCACGAACACCAACTAGCAGTCAGAACATGATGAAAATTCTTTAATTTCACAACATATAGACAGATTTAATCATAATCTCACCTGGGAAAATGTAACCATCCTAGACCAAGCCAAGACCAAAAACTCCAGGGAATTTCTAGAAGCCATGGCAATCACCCATCAATAGACACATACACATTAACAACATCTATAGACTATGCAAAAGGGACCATCACCCAGCCCAAAAAGGAACAAAAAGACCACCATCCCAGCAATCAGCATCCAGATCACATAAACTCCAAGGTTAACATCAAACCAACAATCAAGTAAACAATACCCCAATCAAGAAACTGCCAAAGAAGCCAATAGCAAACAGCCTAACCAAAGAATCTCTAAGACTACCCCCACCAAAACTGACAGGTAAAATATAAACTGATAGCAAACTGCATTTCTTATTAGCACTGAAGTTGTTATCTAATTTGGGTAATGAAACATCTGCAGGAAAACAATCAAGCTCAGAGAATACCAAGGATCCCTCATGGAGTAATTATTATTTTCTGCTGCCTGACAAGGGATCCTCTTACATTAGAAAGGCTACTGGGGCATAATGGAGAGGAAGGTTGATCTAAAACATATACTACTGAAATAATTTAGGGCTCAGTTTACACCGGGCAATATGCCACAATTTGCTTTAAATAATCTGATGAACAAGCCAGATTACCCAGGGTCACCATTTAAGTCCTAAATTATATACTTTCTTAAAATCAAGCATCATGCTAAGCCAAAACTAAATACAGATCAAAAGAATATGTGAACTGTTGTGTGAAACATATATGTAGTAGGCTCAACTTTGTTTCCATATTTAAAGATAAATTAAGACATCTCAAAGTTTTTTTTAAGTTTAAAAAAACCACTTATTTTTCATTAGGCTATACCTCTAGTAGAGGCTATAACTCATTCATTAGGCTATAACTCTAGTAAAACACAGTATAGATCTTGCAAATCTAAAGGGCTTACAAAAAGGTTGGCTAGGGATAATGGGAGTTGTTACCCAAAAGAAGAGGGAACCACCAGGTGAAGAAGGCTGTTTTTCAGGACAAAGCTGGTTGAAAAATTGGTGGGACACACTACTGTCAGGCATGAAGGAGCACACTTTCCTGGCTTTGCTTAGGAACAATAAGCCACCTCTCTGGAAGCTCACCCACCACGTTTGAATGTCTTACCCAAGACTTTTTAATATGCTTACGATGGATTTCTAATCACTTTTAATGAAAGCTGCTCTCTCAAAGCATTATGCAATTGTCAAATGCCAAAGTGCCTCCTTGGAGCTCTTAGAAAAGGCAACACCTTTACTGTCTGCTCTTTAGGAAGAGAAAGAGCCCTTTTCTCAATAAAGGAACACCCAAAGATAGCAAAAAAATTGCTGCAACTCATATACCTACCTTACCAGAGGATTGCCATTATACAGAATGTAAATGCCAGCCTCCTTATTTCCATAGATTTGATTGCTACGGATGATGCCTTTTCCGTTGCCAAGGGCAACAATACCGGAGCGAAGGCCACTGTGGATTCTATTACACTGCCACATTGTTTTATGCATGGTGGAGGGGGGGAAAGAATAAAAGGAGAAGACAAGAGTGAGTGAAGTCTATCATACTAAGTCAAGAACTTCAACATGCTTTCAGACCAAGACACCCAGATCCTTAAATGCTAGAAGCTATTCATTTCAGAAAAATGTTTGTCGACTTCTGGATTTTACTGAAGTAGGCCTGACATTTCAGTAGTCAGTAAACTATTTAACAGCAACTGGGTGAAGAAAAAAAATAACACCCTGGTCAACATGTCTCAATATTTTCAGCTATTACCCAGTTAATCAGAACATATGCCTTGCCTGTCATTTGTCATCCTCTGTCTTCACTTCTCAGCTATTACTCTGCTTACAGATCATACGGTTCAGCAATTTCAAAATCAGGGACCCTCTTTGCTACTTCCCAGTTTCTCCACTGTGTTGTACTTTCACACAGCAGATATTAACAAATGATCATATTTTATCTTGATTAGGGAAAAGTGTCTCCTGCTGATTTTTGCAGGCACATGAGCAAACCCAGCAAGTGTTCATTCTTGATCAGTTCGCAATCAATCTCCAGGAGAGAACTTACATTTACAAGGGGAAAAAAATCAGATAGCTACGTCAAAATTTAAAAATGCACGGCAATGGAGGCTAAAATGGTAGATGTAAGCAGTTATTTAACAGCTTGCAGTCTGCTACATTAAGAAGAATCAGAAGATTGAGTACTTAGGTATTAAATCATAATTTCTTGCACATGCTCCAGACATAAAAGCATATGTCCAACCAAGTCATTAACAATTGTATGCAAAATATTTGTTTCAAGTTTTGAAGGCTCTGTCCTGGGTTCAAAACAGCCAATCCCACTATTCCGTTGTAAGCTTCAACTGCTCTGGATTCAAGCTCTATAAACAACCTGTTTCAACCTCAAAAATCATTGTGTCAACCTTGACAAAGAGTAAGAACAAAATATTGTCAGGGTGTTCAGGACCATGTTCAAATACTTCACAACAAAACCTGATTACTTAAAGTTTGGAATAATTTATATCTCTCTGGTCCTTAAATATTGGGTGCATTGTATCTAATCCCGTTATTGGGGGCTGTTTTTATGTTGAGTACATCCTGAACTGATGATTCGGGGAAGCATTTCTCAATCTTTTCTCATCAATGCCTCCTCCTCTTTCTGACCTTGGTTTTCTCTTGTGGTCCCTCTATCCAGGTTCCATTACTTGATATGGACATGGGTCAATAACTGTGTGTCTTGTGGCATAAACAAAACTGTATTTGCAGTATGGTACATGTTGCTTTTCTGTGGCTTTCAGCATTTGCCATGGCCCCAGTGCTTGTTTTTCCACTTGTGCCCCCAAAATATCTTAGGGCCTCTAGGAGGCTGTATGGCCCCTGGCTGAGCTGATCTAGCAGACAGTTCAGGTTTTGAGAATCATCATGAGATGCATCAAACTCCAAACAAGTTTTATAACACTCATATAAATGTCTCCTCCCTAAAAAGAGGCTGGCTGCCAGAAATACGACAAGGTCTATCCCTTTGCCTCGATCCACAATCCATGATTCAACTATGCACAGTACAGGGGAGAGCTCCTCACTGTTGAACACATGGATTGGATTGGATTAGATTAGATGCATACTTGACATCTAGTCATCATAATACCCACTTATAGTCAGCTCAGTACTGTATTTTACATTACGAATGTTTTAAGATGCTGGACTATCTATAACAAGGGTGTCAAACTCATGGCCCATGGGCTGGATGCGTCAGGGTTTAGTGAAGGGGGGAAAAGTCCCGATATGTCACGTGACAATGACGTGATAACACGAGTTTGACACCCCTGATCTATCAGCTTAGTATTTTAGCACCAGAAGCCTCAACTGCAATGTTGAATGAATCGTTTTCAGATATGACAAAAGCTGTCAACCAAAATCTATCACCTATGCTGCAGTCAAAGAATGCATGAAAGAAATGAAAAGTTGGAGAATGTGAACTGGCAATTTCTTTTGCCTCTTCATTCCTCCTGACGCAGGCCTTTTAAAATTTCTAACAGGGATCCCAAGCAGAGAAATGTCAGAGCAAGGGATCTATAGCAGATTTATCCGCTGCTGCTTCTCCTCTGTAAATATCCAACGCCCAGACAAATTTTTTGAAAAATGACCATCAATACCAGGATTAAAGGGTTAGCTCCCTTCCGAATGTCCACTCCTGCTTCACAATTGGAATGGATATTATTGTCTGCAATCAAGCCACCTGCACCAAGACGCAGAAATATCCCTGAGGTCTTGCAGTGGTGAATGTCATTCTTGAGCATGATGATCTGAAAAGGGGAAGACAGAATGAGTTAGATTTATTCACCGAAAAGATTGCAAGCAGGCCAAACAGTGCAGGAATGACCTTGGGAGTTAACATATATTTGGTCAGTACCAAAACATGGCCATCTCTGCAGTAACTGACAGGGTCTGATATTTGCCACTAAGGATTTCCCAAGCTTCGCAACTTTAAGAAGTGTGGACTTCAACTCCCAGAATTCTCCAGCCAGCTTTCTAAAACCATTTTCTGAGTTCCTGTGTTGAAAGCTGCTTGACCTACTTATTTCCTACCTCACAGGTGCTTCACGTCACTGTCTTTATTTTGAACAAAAACATTCTTCCTGAATAAGACTACTGCATTTTGCTGTAGCATTCAAGTTATTTTACCAATTCTAGACCTGAGAGGAGATCTCACCGGCTGAATCTTTGTGCTTTTTAAGCACCCAATTCGAGAACTTGACAAACAGCTTGCATTTATGACTGGTTGCAGCATCCTGCAATGATGTGATTCTAATTTGCAACCTTTTTTTGGCAATTTTTGGCAAAAAAATACTCATCAGGAAAGCTGCATTTGCTTAACAACAGTGTGATTTCTTACCAACCACCATAAAAATTGTCGTAAAATCTAATTGACTTAACTGGAAATTCCAATCCCAATTGTGGACATAAGCTGAAGACTATCCATATTGATGTTATTTTGATATATTATTTATTTGTTTATCATATTTATGTTGCCTAACTCTTGACACTAACATGGTGTACTTGGTTCTGTAACAATTTTTTTTTTAAGGAAAATTAGCGAAAGATACATTTTGCCTTAGAAAATACTTCAAACACAAATTGCTGTTTATGTAACACTCAAGAAAATTCATACCCCAAGAAAATGTGATGGTCTCCTTCAAAAGCATAATTGTGTCCCATAATTGATAAATTAAAGGCTTTTGCTAAAATAGAAACACATCTGAAACTTTACAAGGTTGCAATTCCCTAAAATGAATTGCCATGGGATACAATGCAATATAATACAATTGACATAGAATACAATTAAATAACAAGTAGAGGTAGATTCCAACTTACAGAAGTTTGCTTAGTGACCATTCAAAGTCACGACATGGAAATAAATGATTTATGACCAATTTTCACAAGGCCATTGCAACATCCCCATAGTCATGCGGCCAAAATTCAGACACTTGGCAACTGACTCATATTTATGACGGTTGTGGTGCCCCAGGTCATGGGATCACCTTTTGCACCCTTCTGACAAAGTCAGTAGGGAAGCCAGATTCCATGGCTTTCCCATTGGCTTAACTACCGTGTCACTAACTTAACAACCGCAGTGATTCACTTAAACAGCTGTGGCAAGAAAGGTCGTAAAATGGGGCATAATTCACTTAACAAAGGACTCACTTAGCAACAGAAATTGTGGAGTCAATTGCGGACTACCGTAATAAAACGTCTGGGATTGGTGAACAATTTTGACAGACAATTAGGGGTAGTCATCTTTCAAAACCTCTACCTAATTTTGCTCCAGGCCTCACTCTTGTCCAGTTAAAACAAGAATGACAGTTGATAGCATCCCTGTTTTGCCTGCAGAAATTTGACTGGCTTTTAAAACTGACCATTTCCATAAGTTGCTTATAATATACTAGGGGAAGTGATTTCCCCCTCCCCCAGTTTTGAGAGTCTCTGCATTATGAGATGTTTTTGCATATGGAGCAATAGCTTCCAATCTGACACATAGTATTTGGCTTCAGTTCTGACAAACGAGGGCATCAGGAGTCATTAAATGAACCAAAAGCAAAATGTTTACCTGTTGGATGTCACCTAGAACAGGGGTCTCCAACCTTGGCAACTTTAAGACTTGTGGACTTCATCTCTGGGAGTTGAAGTCCACGAGTCTTAAAGTTGCCAAGGTTGGAGACCCCTAACCTAGAAGGCAGAGTGGAAGGCGGTACAGTCACACATGCAGAAAAATGGTAGGAATCCTTGCTTGTAGTGGACACTTAGTAATTTATTTTCTGGGACTATTTTATCTGACAAAGAGCTTATGGTTTGGAGCTAACTGGCTTACAAAACAAGAGGATGCTGAAAGCAAATACATATCGCCCTGAGATTTCATTTGCACACAGCTGGGGGAAAAAAATTAAATCCGGGCATTGGTTTATTTGAGCAAATAAGTGGTTTAAATACGCATGCATGTAATTCTTTTCCAGTCCAATAAACCTTTAAACGCTTGCCTGACAAGCGTCAAGAAACAAATCTACAAATTGCAATATTCTTGCCTTAGCGAGCAGCGCATATCAAAGCTGATAATGAAATTACAATCTCCTTTATTTGCTCATTTAAAAAGATGGCTGGCCTCCCCTTCCCATCAGTTGATTAAAATGCAGGAAAAAAAAGACAAGCGGCAGTGCTGCTCTCCTTATTAGTCACTCACTGCTAACCTGGCACAGAGGTCAAGCCCTGATTAGAATATTAAGCTGGCAATCCGGCATATTAACAGAAAATATGGCCCTTATCCTAGCCAAGTAATAGACTGACAGCTGTTTACAGCTATCTTAACTTTGAATTTGATGGATCAGCTTCGGAAGCTTACAGAGGTTGGCTTCTCAACTCACTCAATTGGATCTCACAGTTGCTGGCCTGGGAATATGGGCATTTAGCCAGTTTTCTCCTAATGCCTTCCTTTTACATGGACTGGGCAGGAATTCCCATGGTTCTTTATCTAGCACACCCAGTAGCTATGGATGGTTGGTCTAGATTGTCTACTGGTTACTGATTTACAAACTTGTACAATCACCTCTTCATTCTGGCAGTCAATATAAACACACTAAGAAGTCTCAAAAACTCTTTTGATCTGTCCATGATTAGATAGATACGAAAAACTGAAGAGAAATCTCTCCATGTTCAAAACAATGCAACACTTCATCTCAGAAGGGAAAAAATGAGGGAAATGATCATGTTACCCTGATTCCCCGAGACTTGTTCTTTCTAAAGATGACCGTAGGACATTGCAGGATCCATGCCAAATTTGAGTCAAAGCAGAATTCCACTCTAAACCATCCCTCGCTTCAATTGTCTCCAGGGCCCAGTCAGCCTCTTCCAAGATGTCTGACCAGAAGCCATCTTGTTGGATTATAGCCCTTTCGTTGACTCTCAATAGGCAAAAAATTGGATACTCCCCAAGAGACATGGCTTCTGCATGACAGCAGGTACAGATTGTGGGCTTGTGGCTGAGAGAAAATTCTTTTGCAGCTTTAGCTAAGGTGTCGACGTTTGCCTTTTGTGGAAAAGAGATACTCTTGACTCATACCCTCATTAATTTAAGACTGGATTACTACATGTTCTACCTGGGGCTGACTTTGAAGACTATTGCAAATAGTACAGTATACAGCAGCGCCTACAGCCTGGTGGGCGGGAGTCAGATCAGCAACATTATATTGATGTTGCATTGGTTGCCAATATGATTCCAGCTACAATTCAAAGTGCTGGCTTGATCCACCAAGCCTACATCCATATAACCCTGTGGGACCATTATCTCCAAAGAGAATCTGCTCATCCTAGTGGCCTGGGAAATGATACTTTGAGGTACCCTCTCCTTGGGAAGTTGACGTGACAAAGGCAGAACTGAAGAAGCTTCTTGAATGAGAAGTGAAATGTCTTCATGCAAAACCAAAAGAAGTCCAGTTGCGTTTTGAAAAAATACTTTTGAAATAACCATTACCTGGATGATTGAGAATCTCCATAGATGTTTCAATTTGTCATTTTTAATATTCTTTGGAGATTTTTTTAAAAATAATTATGGAAATAGCCCTGAGTGTCTTGACTGGGGCAGGATATAAATTTTATATAAGTAAAACAAATAACTAAAATCAATTGTGCAAATAATTTCTCACCATTTTTCTAATCACACAATACCATACCTCTGGTTTACAAATCTGGCATTCTGTTTGTGGCAAGCCACAATAATGGAAAGCAGCATGATTGGCTCCTGCCATCTCCTATTCTAAATGTCTACTTCACATGGTCGTTATGATGACAAAAAGGAGGGAAATAGGAACAAGAGCAGGAAAAATGAAATGAATAGAACAAAAACAACGACTAGAACTTCACACAACCTTTACCTAAACTTCATTATCATAATATGTAAAAATAAAATAATAAAATGAAACAAAATAAAATAGGCCTTTTGGAAGTCCAAATAATCATTAAATTCAATCAATCAAATTCAATCAACTCAGCTTCAATATTCTTTGGATGTAGGAGAAGGAGTGGCAGAATCTGAGGGCGAAGTTAAAAAAGGGATCAGTCTAGAATCCCTTCATAGCCATGAGCAGAATAAATCTAATCCCACTTGAATTCAAGCAGGTGCTAACTATTGGTTGAGAAGATGACTGTGCATAGGCTATGTAGCAATATAAATCCATTTTTAATTGGACTTTCACATATAGACCTGGTCTTTTGGGCCTAACAGTTAAATCTCTTGACTGACAACCTCTTATGGGTCTTTTGTTGAAATTAGATAAAAGTGAACTGGTGATTTATAGATTTCCTGATTTAAAAGGTTTGATTATGAGAAGACAATAATGATGCGATTTTAATGATGGAGGAGAGAAAATAACAGTTCGTAATCATAATAAAGAAGATTATAAATCATTCTTTTATAAATCTTTTCCCCCTTTTTCTATTTCTTTTACCTTTTTCCTACTTTTTAAATTCACATTACTCTTCTTTCTTTTCTTAAATCTTATATTATTCATGTTTATCTCTGCATTTTTTAAAAATATTTTAAAATAAAATATTTACTTCTTTAAAACGAGAGAGAGAGAGAGAGGGAGGGAGAGGGAGGGAGGGGGGGGAGGGTTAAATAACTAAATATGTAAAACAAATCCACCTCCTGTCACCGAGAAGTAAATTTGAACATGATGGAACACAGGCATGGAACAAAAAAACATTGACAACCAGCCTTTTTCTGCGGCTGCCCAAGCAAAGCAAAAGAAAGTTTCCACTTTGCTGTGCTTTAAATGAAATGGAAGCCCATGGCTAATGGGATGAAAAGCCCAGGGTTATGCACGGAGGCGCAGAGCTGTTTTGCCGACCATGCACGGCTACTTCTCCTTCAAGTCTTTTGCTCCTTAGCGATTCTGCGGAGCCTGACTTATAGCAGAAGGCACACAATTCATCCTTGCATCAAATAGGCAGGTATTTGAAAAATGCAAATGGCACCTGCTGGGACAGTCTGATAATGGCACCAGCGGGAGGCTTCCTTTCGATGCAAATACCGGTTTTGAAGGAGGAGTTTCTCCCTAGGAGGAAGCTCAAATTAGCTCCCCACATCTACTTGGATCTTCTTTTTTGTCAGCCTCCTCCCCATGATAGAATCTGCATTTGAAAAAAATAAAAAATAACCACCCCCCACCCCCCAGCAAGTTAGCTGTGAAGACACATTTGCCTTCATGCTCAGTTTAGCTTTTGCCAATATATCGTAAGGATTCGGGCTCAGGTGCAATTCAAAGGATATTGCATAGCCTCTCATTTCAGCTTCCCAGTTTCACCATCTTGGAATACTGAACTTTCTCACCGTTTGCCATTTCAAGAGACAAGAGCCCGATGTAAAATGGGGTGGGTGAGAGGAAATGCACTGTATGAGAAGACCCCTAGCCCTTTTAAGCAATGCCAAGACAAAAGATATTTCAGCAGATGGATGTTTTCAGACAGGAGTCTGGAAAAAATTGAATATTTTGTTTCTCGATTGGCCATTCCATCCTGATGGCTCCAAGTTTAAATTTTGATTCAGCTAAGTGATACCTTTAAGGCACTGGACAAAGAGCAGAAGGACTGTAAGTTCTAGTTCTATCTTAGGCATAGAAGCTAACTGAGTGACCTTGGGCCAGTCACTCTCAGTCCTAAGAAGGAGGCAAGGGCTACTCCTGAAAACATTGTCCAAAAATACTGTATGAATTGGTCCATGTAGTCACCTGGAATCAAGACAGGCTCAAAGGAAACAGCAAAAAATGTCACCTTAAGGCTGAATTCTTGCATTGCATTAAGCCAATAGTTTACTTAATCTTGGTCAGTGACAGCCGGAAAATGTGTACATTAAACCAGAAACTCTGAATTACAAAACATCAGCACTGGGTTTGTAGAAAACACCATCCAACCCAAACAAATCATGTTAGAGTTTAACACACGTAGGACTATTGTATCTTAGTACACAGGATCAGCCCCACTTCTATCAGCAAAGGCATTTTGCTGGGCTTGCTAATTCCAATGTCATATTTGGTGTACCAAACATATGGAAAAATATATCGCCACCACTCCTTGCACTGTTCATTGCACCTTCAGAGCAAGCTCCTAGTTCATTTCCATAATATATCTAAGAATCCAAGGTGACGCCAATCACCACTGAATTAATTCCTTCCTTCCTTCCTTCCTTCCTTCCTTCCTTCCTTCCTTCCTTCCCTGCCTCCCTCCCTCCCTCGGCAGTTTGGAGCAAATCAAAACAGCACAGAGTGAAATATGCCTAGGAAAAGCAAAACAAAGATATCTTTTTAGCATAAAACATTCCCACAAGGCGACTGTCATCCACCCTAGCTTAGGCCTGGAGAAAAGTCAGATTTCAAGAGCCCAGTTAAATAAGGTCAAGGTAAAGGAGATCCAGATATCTGGAAGGATGCCATTCCAGAGAAGAGAGGCTGCGGCAGGTGCTCAGGTGCTCTCCTTCTATTCGTAAACCAGGTGAGTCAGAAATTAGATACCTAGATATCAGAAGTCTCCCCTCCTCCCCTTTGCAGCTATCTTTCCTTTGGTTTCCCAGCAATAAAGTCAGAATCAGAAGGCGGCAAGGTGGAATCTTTAGAAGAATGAATGAGAACGGGCTTCTCACAGATGCTCTTTCTAAGTCTTGTAAATACTCTGAATTAACTATGAATCAAGGTAAGATGAAACGGGAGTCCATGGGATCTGATATAAACAAAAGCCAAAATCAAAGCAGATCATGAAAGCCTTTCCTTCTCCCTAGTCTTTGAAGTGAATTATTGCCTTGAAACACAGGAACAGAAAATTTTTAGCCTAACCGCAAGCCATTTTCACCCGGGGAACAATACAGCCATCGGGAACGGCATACGAACCCCATGTTAAGGGTTCACCCCAAAGCCAGGCCAACTCCAAACACCTCTGCCACCTCAGCCCCAAAGACTGCTGCCACCAGGTGATCCCTCTGCTCTTTCCTGCATAAGAAGCCTGCCCTCACCCCTCACCCCCAGGGAGTCTTTCCACTGCTTGTCTGCGGCAAGGTATTTCTGTAATGCAGTTGTCCTGGAGGGTTGGTGACAGACAATTCCTGTGATTCAGCTTTTATTGCCATCTATTTGCTTCTCACGTATCCAACTGTCTACAAACCCACAATGCGGTTTCAGTAAACAGGACCATGAGCCTCTATATCCAATCCTTAGGCAAACAGTTCACATCAAAGGGCTAGTTCTAAAGATTGCTAAACAGAGGGCAGTAGTGTGACTGGCAGATGGCTGAAAAGAAACAAGGAGGCTTTAAGCAGGGGTCCCCAAACTTGGCAACTTTAAGACTTGTGGACTTCAACTCCCAGAATTCTCCAGCCAGC